ATCCCATAATTAGCTGCATATTGAAAATATATAGGCCTCTTTATTATTAAGGTTGTGAGTACAGATTCGAAGAATAGCCAAACCCACACTCTATTTACTTATATTAGCTCATACTAATATACAGAATATATTTCAATTATTTTGCTCCTCTTCTTCAGTTTGTTGTATTTCTAAGAAACACTAGAAGTATTCAATAGTTCTACATAAATTTTCAGAGGATTAATTGCGTTCTATCTAATGATGTATCTTGATAAGAAAAACAAAACCAAAAATTTTGCAACTGATTAAATAAGGTTTGTATGCGGTTAGTTTACTCTTAAGATTGAACAAAGTATTGAATGAAAACTGTTTTAAATTGAATTAAAAAAAATTAAATCTTATAACTGCTAAAATTTTAGACATGTTTGCACTATTAGATTTTCAATACTGTCATAAAACGGATTTTAAATAATATTTTTTTTCTTACATTATCATATAAAACCTTATGTTCTTGGAAGGAGAAAATGAATCCTACATTACTCTATCGCACCTTTTAACTAGTGACATGGACTGTTACTTGCATCAGTTCTCTTACAATTATCATTCCAAAAATACGAATTTTCAAGCAACTCTGCTGTTTATTGTAATAGATCACCAATCGTTCAATCGATATTGTTCTCTATATGCATATGTTAATGAGCTTGGTATAAGAATCTGTTCAAAAGAAACTTTTCTTTTTCTAAATTCTTGAATACAGTGCGAGAAGTAAATCTACCAGATTATAATAGTCACTTGTGCAGAATGTTGATTTCGATTCAATTGAAATTACAGAAAGAAAAAAAAACCTATTGCTATGAAAAATGAAAGCGATACACAGACAATCCAGTTCTTTTTTGAACTTGCTTGTTTTCTCTTTTTTGCTTTCGCGGCATATATCTTTGTCATCAATCTTTTTTTTGATTCAGTAATCTCGCCGATGGAAAATCAGACGATATTCCACTGAAATACTCAGATAAAACAAATTACAGGTATTTCAAGACTTTCTCATTGTCTTCTCTTACGTTAAAGTGATGCATCTTCACGATAACTGTACTTGATTGTTGAAATATTGATCCTTATTCGCACCGACAACTAGAACGATGAACTCTACTTTTAGTAAAAGAAAAATTAGAAGAAAAGGATTGAGCTCTTTTAGAGATGTGCATGAAAAAAATACGTTTTACAATGACGAGGACGCATTTTCTGCATGACAACATGTGAAAGTTTTTTTTTCTTCTTAACACTTCTAGAAAATTTGAATTTCATATAACTCTTTTGACTTTTCTCCTTAAATTGAAAATTCATTCTATAGAATCGCTCTAATAGAATCTTTAAAAATTTTCTATTCGTTTCTCTATAACGTTCATTGAGTAAGAATCTTTCAATAGAATTTTCCCTATATACCTACTAAATTATTAGTAAAGATTTCTTGAGAGTAGCTCTTTTCTAAAACCGCCACTTCAGACAGCGAGATTTCATTGGTTTTTCGTTTTCATGTAGTTAAAATTCTAGCAGAGCGGTTTAAAATTGAGTCAATTGTAACTATTTAACTTTGATTAAGTTTTTGCTTCGTTAGTTCAATGAAACAAAGACTCAATACTAATTTTTTCAGTCTATCTAATTGATTAAATCAAAGTAGTTTTACTTGATTGCACCCGTTTTGTTTAAGAAATTCGTATGTTTATATTATTCTTCAAAATGATTTTTCATAGATTTACCAAAGACTTTTATCATTGACTAAATCAGTCTAATCAATTGGTATTAAAGTAGAAATTTCTATTTAAATTAGCCTATATAATAATCATTCTGTGACAACTAACGTTATCCACATTTCTAACATGAGAAAAAAATTCCTTTTTGTTTATGTGAGATTCCTCAGAAATAGCTTGAGAAGCGTTGAAAAACAAAACAGTATTTATACTTATCAGCTCATACTATAGTTATAGACTATCAGCAATAAATTAAATCATTATTTTAAATACAGGCTCTTAACGTAGATTTACGAATGAAATTCCGCGAAAGAATTCAGTTAGATCTTTTAATTACTAATTCTCTCTTTTCGAAAATTTATGCAAAATTACCTATCGATTCTAGTTCTTCATGAAACAAACTTAAAAGCACATGTCTCATTTGAGCTTTCTATAATTGTGTTATATCCGCATCCTGATTAAATACGAACGATTGCATCAATGGAAAAGTTTGTAATAACGTATTAATAACAGTTGGTACAACAGTATGTTCGATTTTCTTTTGACTAGGATTTTGAAATTACCGTTATCTTCGCGATGAAGATATTTCCTGATCAGATTTTAATATTCTTTTCTTTCTCCTTATAACTTTTAAGATAATATAGAAACCGTGAAATCTAAAAAGTGATATACTCTTTCAACATCTCGATCACAAATAATTCAAGTGAAACTTTTTGTAACAAGCAAACATTTACTATAACATTGAGAATTTCATTTCAAAACATTCTGATGATTCCCTTCTAAATAATCTTCCCCTATGCAGTTCGAAATTAGATAATTTCTTCTACTAATAGACAGGTTTTGTAGTCGTTTTATAATTTCCTACATATCTGAAAAAAGTGAAGAAATGTTCACTGATGTACAGTAGCTCAAGAACGAACACGAAAACGTGTGTAAAATGTATCAAGAAGTGTTGAAACGAAAAGATTTACAAAAGCTAATATTCATTTACTGTTGACAAATAAGAAGAATTATATAGCCTTGTTATTGAGCAAGCTACTATATTGATTGGTATTTTCAAAAGAAAAGAAAATCTGCGTTTAATAAACAACAAATAATGAAGAAACAAAAAAATTGATTCAATTATCAATCTTAACCTAAAACAATTTTCCTATTCGTAATTTATCTAATGAATAACCATAGAGCAAGCATATATACGTTATTTTCATAAAGGCATAATTGTCAATGGTATTATCAATAAATGAAGCGTAAGCATTATTTTATTATAAGTTGCTCTTTTTTCATCAAATTTCCTCATTTTGAATATTCTAACATAATTCAATCTACTGTATAAGTCTATCTAGAATTGTTACACAGGATCATTGATTTAGATTGAAATTTTATAAATAATTTAACAGAGTCGAGTGTGACAGTAAATGATCATCTCAACTTAATATTATAGTCTATTTTTGTATAATTCTTTAAATCTTCGTCTGAGACAAAAAGACACTTCTCATTGTAGACTTATCACCGTCATAAGATAATTTTATTTCTATAGAATAAACTTCCAATATAGAAAACACTTTTTGTGGGAGGAATTTCCTTGAATTTCTATAGGAGTGATCTATTCAAAGAATTTTGCTTGAAACTTTCGAAATTATTTCATATACTAGCTATACTCAAGAGAGACAGAGATCTCCTTTTATTCTTATGTTTTGTCTTCTAGTTAATATTCCTACTAATGTCACAGAATAATTTTTCTACACTGTAAACTAGAAAATAATTTATAGAATAAAATAAAAAGTGTTCTATAATGAAGAACATCATTAATAAGAAAAATATAAAAATATATAGGAATATAATTTAAAATATAGTATAGAAAATTACAAAAACAAAAAAGGTGTAATAAAAAATATTTTCTTCATAGGAAGAGAAGCAAAATCTGATACTCAAGTTTAAAGATAAAAATACTACATAATAGTCGATAATATATCTGTGCCTAAAAGTACGTTACTCATGCAGGACTAGATTAAATATGGGGTTATAGAAACCGACGGATCTCCACTTATAAATCATAGAGCAAATGAACATATCGCAGCGACATAATTAAGTTTACATTATATACTAATATACATCCTTGTATATGACAACGCATAGTCACCTACTGAACAGTACGTAATCTTTCTATGTATCTTTTCTCTCTCGCTAGTATATAAGCTCACGATATATTGGAAAAAAGGGCACTATTATAAGTCACAGAGTAGTTAAAATTTAAGTTGTTCGAAGAAATAGTTATTTGAACGTAGTTGGAAAATAGTTAGACTTGACTTGTATTGAGAAACACATACACATATTATTATCAGCGCGATATTGCTATCTTGTTTATTGTAAAGTCATTATTAAATAAATTATTACAAATTGGTATTGTCCAAAAATTCTTGGTTGTACTACTTACAAGAGTTTCGATTAATTATCTCGCTATACTCCCACACCCACACCCACACCCACACAAAAGAAATAAATAGAGTTCACCATTTGAAACTCCGATTGAACGACTTTTTAATGTCTGCTTGGGTTAACAAAATTTAATTATTTATGTTTGATTTTCTACAAAAATATAGAATTTAAATACGCTTGAGAGAGAGAGAGAGAGAGAGAGAGAACGATATGCTATATGTGTGATTCTTTGTATAGAATAATCTTCCNTTCAAAGAATTTTGCTCGATACTTTCGCAATTGTTTCATATACTAACTATACTCGCGAGAGAAAGAGAGAGATTTCCTTTTATTCTTACGTTTTCTCTTCTAGTTAATATTCCTACTAATGCTACATGGAAGCAGAACGGAGTGACTATTGCTGGAGGTCACGGACAAGGGGATGCTACTAATCAACCGTGCACCCCTCATGGCCTCTTCGTTGATGATGATCAAACAGTGGTTATTGCTGACTACGGGAATCATCGTATCATGCAATGGAAGAACGGTGATACAACGAATGGACAACGTGTCGCTGGTGATAAAGACGAAGGAAATGGATTACATCAATTGGGTTATCCAACTGATGTATTAATTGACAAAGAGACCGATAGTCTCATTATTTGTGATCGAGGGAATCAACGAGTTGTACGATGGCCTCGTCGTAGTGGTACAACACAAGGTGAAATACTCATCGACAACATCGAATGTTATGGATTAGCAATGGATGAACAGAGACATCTCTACGTCTCTGACTACAGAAAGCATGAAGTAAGACGATATCAATTGGGTGAGAAGAATGGCACTCTCGTAGCTGGTGGTAATGATGAAGGTGGTGGTCCTAATCAACTCGACGAGCCGGGATATCTCTTTGTCGATAGACAACAGAATGTCTACGTGTCAGACCACTGGAACCGTCGTGTAATGAAATGGCCTAAAGGTGCAAAAGAAGGTATTGTGGTCGCTGGAGATAATGACCAACGGAGTGCTCCGACACAATTGTCTTTTCCTAATGGAATCTTCGTTGATACGTTGGGTACACTCTATGTAGCAGACTCAAGGAGTGATCGTGTAATGCGTTGGACTCAAGGAGCAAAAGATGGCACTGTAATTGTGGGTGGAAATGGTCGAGGAGAAGAAGCAAATCAGCTCAGCAACCCCGATGGTTTGTCTTTCGATCGACATGGTAACCTCTATGTCGCCGATTGTGGTAATAATCGTGTTCAACGATTTTCTATCGAATAAGATTTGTGAATTGTTTTTTCTTTGTTCGTTTCTTTTTCTATACTTTGAAATAAATGAGCAAAAAAATAAATTTTCTTTTACTCTCTCCCTTTCTCTTTCGCTTCAAAGAAAAGAAAAAAGCTAAAATATAAAATTATGTCATGCGTTTCTTTTCTTCTTCCTTTATTTATTTGTTAAATGAAAAGAAATGCATTAAATAAAAGAATATGCTATTTTTTGCAAAAAATATTAATTATTAAAGTGAAAAATAAATTGTGTTTTTGAAAATATTTATTATTACAATCAAAAATACAATTTGTGTTATTTAAATGAAAATTTGTATTATTTGCGAAAAATATTTATCAGTAAAATGAAAAATATTTATTAGTAAATTGAATTTATTTATTAGTAAAATAAAATTATTTATTGATAAAATAAAAATATTTAGTAGTTAAGTGAAAAAAACAAAATTTGTATTACTTTGAAAATATTTTATTCCTGAAATACAAATTAATTTGTTCTTTTCGTAAAATATTTGTTAGTTAAATGAAAATAAAATTTTGTATTATTTTTGGAAAATATTTATTTGTAAAAGGAAATAATTTATTACTGAAATGAATAAAATTTGTGTTACATCGAAAATATTTTATTCCTGAAATCCAAAGAAAATTTGTGTTATTTATATGAAAATTTGTATTATTTCCGTAAAATATTTATGATTCAAATGAAAAAAAAACATTTGTGTTATTTTTACAAATTTTATTATTGAAATGAAAAAAATATTTCCTGTTTTCAAAATATTTGTTAGTGAAATGAAAAGAAAACTTTTAAATTATTTTAATAATGTTTATTATAATAAAAAATGAGGGGTGCCCAAGGACTGGGAAATGGGAACTCCTCCTCAGTTCCTTCAGTTTCCCGAATACTAAAATTAAAAAATACAACATTAGCAATGGTTTTTACTCTTATACTCCTTTTCATCTGGAAGTTTGTGTACATGAATAGTATGCTACAAAAAGTATTTCAGAAGAAGAATCATTATTTCACTTTCATGAGTTGAGAAACTATGAGGGAATTGAGGATCAGTTTTCGTTTCTCTGAGAAATAATCGTGGGGTTGTTGAGAATCTCACTTCTGTTTAGGATTTCCCATTTCTCAGTTCTTCGACACTGCTGGACATGCTTGGATAAAGTCAACAATCATTTTTCTTCAATCTGAATAGAACCTATCGCTACTTCGTTATCATTTTCGCAAAACCACTCCGGGGCCTCGCTTCATATGTCATATGTTTATTTCTATTTTGTTTTTGCATAAATTCATCATTACTTATTGATTGCATTGAATTGTCTCGTTTTCAGTTACATCTAAGGATATTAAAGTCTTCTCCTAATCAGTTAGTATTGCATTTATTATTTGATGAGAAACAAAAGTGAATACTAAGTTACTAGGAACGATATAAGTTCTATTAAATATGGAATGACATTGTTGAATCAGTACATTAAAGCAAATGAATGCCCTGGATGCACGACTTCAGACAGACCGATGCAAATTTCGCAAAGATCATATGTGTCCCATCCTCTGCAATTTCGGCATTGATAGCGATGCCCAGTATTCATTCGATGACAATTATTACAATACCAATTAAATGAAGGTGGCGGCGGATGAAAACTTGACCCGAAAGCTGCAGGTGCCGACATAATACTATTATGAACAAATCAAATGAAACAAGCAATCCGATTTATTTTTCACCGTATACAGCTATTTCAATAATGAAATCAATAGTAGTGGCGTGAGATGAATAACTAAGCAAAGAACCCAGAGAAAAACTATTCAGTGATGTGTAACCGTAAGAGTATCCACATGGTTCTTTATCTCATAAATTTTTCTTTGCTCTTGCTTTTGTTCTGTAGGCATAGATTCGTTGATGTGTGACCCTAGTGCACGTCTTTGTATTAATCTCTCTCATGTTTCTCTCTATACATCAATCAATATATAGATGCATGATCGTACAGCACCCCCGTCTAGCTAAGCTAAAAATGCTACGTTTGCACAGAAAAGAAAAATGAAAACATTGAAGAAAAAATCTATTTTCATGTGATATTCATATCTTCGATCTTACGTCACTATGGGTCATCTGCATGTGTCGTTGTATGTGAGAAAATGCTGACATACACCACATCAGAGAAATTCCTACGAGGTTAGTTTTATCCTCAATTGTATATAATCTACGTTTAAAATATTCTCTGATACAACGACTTTGTAGTCGTTTGCTCACTATATTTTCTCATCTCGATCACATAACATTCATCTTTCTCTCATACATTAACTCCATTAGCGATATTAATAATGCAAAAAATACTTATCAAATGAATTATTAATTTTCGAAGTTGAAATAGCGGCGTAACCAGGATTTTAAGCTAGGGGGGGCTCGGCCCCAAGACTTTAGAATTAATTAAAAACTGAATTTCTTCCACCTTTTTTAGGAGATGTTGTACTTGCTTGATGTTCACTAACATATTTTTCATGTTAAGAGTAGCATTTTAAAGAAAAACAACAATATA